ACGAGGTGTCTGCATCGGGGAAGCGTTCAGCAAGTCCTGCCATGGTCTGTCTTCGAGGTGGCTGCATCGGAGAAGCCATGTGTTGTTTCACTGAGATGGAAAACCCTTAAAGGTAACTCGTGTTATTGGGGTGAGAAATAGACTTAAATGATTTGCCATAAGGTTTTCGCCTTACTGGCTATTGGACCTAAACTTTCCTAAAATCTTTTGGTCTAAATCAGCATTCACTGGTCCGAATACAAATTTCAATGAATTTGGATTGTATTGTATTTGAATATAGATTAAAAATTTTAAGGCCTTGGCATTTTTAGAATTACGATATAAGATAAAAAAACTAAATCAAATCAAAAGCTGTTTTGAAAACTTAGAAAAATCTATGGTCTTAACACTATATTCATACATTCTGAAAAATCTACTTGTCCGAACAATAATTAGTATGTCGCAGTCATTGATTACACAGAAAATAATAGAAATATTGATACAACAAAGTGTTGGTAATTCAATTAACATTCTTAATAATAATTGGAATGTGTTACCGTTTTAGAGAACAAAGGAAAAGGAGATGAGACCCTGAAAAATCGCAACGTGAAAACAAAGCGGCTGTACAGCAAGAAGTACAGCTACCTGATAGTGTTGGGTTTGCCTTGGAACAGCACAGAAGATGACATGAAGTCTTACTCTTCAGTCAACATGGCACAGGTACTCATTGCTACTCATTCAGATCACTGGGTCCCTTGAAAAGTATTTTAAGTTAGTCTTTACTTTTAGACGAAAAGGATTAAAATGGAGCAATCCAGGTATTACTAGTAGCAAATGACAGCACTTTTGTTCTTGTCATAAAACTTTGTAGACATTTGTTTTCTATTTACAACTTATTCAAGGAAATTCTTAGTCCAGACATTTAAGAATCCAAAAGCTCTTTTAATTTGTCACAAACTTGAAAAAAATCACTCGCGCAAAATATTTTGACTTCCTATCGGCCAAATTTCAGATTTTCATCAGACCCAGTGCAACACATGTGGCGTTGTCACTGGTCTAGAATACTCGGAGCTACAACCCCCAACCTCACCCTAAGTGCTGCGGTTGTGGTACCAAGAGGCCATCGTATAGGTGAGCATGTATTTTCACTTGTTTATATTGTTTAGATCCTTAGGCGTTTTCGTGATTCATATGCCCTCCTTTGTAGCTCTTATTCTCCTGTCACTTTTTTTATTGAAGAATCTTCGCACTTTCTTTAATCATAATGCAATTTTCTTGTGTTGTGTTATAGAAGTAAAATAAAAAAAAGCAATTTAAAATAAAATAAAATAAAGTAGTCATATTAAGAACCATAGCATTATGAAATATTAAAATACTAGTACGAGTATAAACGGTGTGTAAAACTGATCTTTGTTGTAATTACTGGAAGCTTTCAATTTCTTTTCATACTTTACATTACGTTTCATTTGTAGGCTACGAAAGGGCAGTTTTCCAGAAATAATGCCCGAAAGCAGAAACCAATCCTCGCCTAAATGTGCAACACTTAATGTCACTAGCAACGAGCCCCTGTAGCCACTTTCATTGATGACCGGACATCCTAGCAGTCTTCGTTTTAAGGACACAGCTTGTCTGCAAAAAATTAGAGAATGTGGAATGGTAATGAAGAGCGATATACTGAATGTAAGAGGAATACTGGTACAACCTAATAATGTACTCAAGTCTTTTGGATATTGAGAATTTTTGCTGTTCATGGGTCACAGATGAGTCGAGTGCAATTGCATTTAGTGAGTTTTTTTCACTTATGACAGTGAAACGTCTTTTGTCAATAGCTTAAGAGAAATCTGAAGTTCAGGATGCGTATTTATAATTCCATGAATAATCAATTGAATAAGATGAATTGTGGTTCTGTATGAAAATTTTAAGTCTGCTTCTACAGTGATTATAATAATTGTTTTAAAATTTAATATTGAATATCCAGTTGCTTTATCCACATTCTAAATGCAGATGGGTTTTCGCTCAAACTTTGGTATCACCACCACTTATGGTCGTCTGTGTTTTATTTCAATCTTAGTGATGTAGTCATTTTTCAAATTTGTGCTGTTGATGATGTGGAGTTGTTCGTCAGTATAGCGTTTGAGAAGATCATAATCCGCACACTAACCTCAACTAACCCTCACATCTTTGTAAAATCCGACTTCATGTAAATGCTTTTACATGAAGAGATTTTACATTGATAGGTTGTGCAAAATCTATAATGAAATATTTTACGTTTGAGAAAATATTTCATTATATTTTTTGTACAGTCTGCTCCTCATGAGGGATGGCTGGAAGCGTTCAGGCATCTCTCAAGATAGGGGAGTGCACATTACTAATATCACTAATATTATGATTTTCTCAAGGGTTATAGTTGACAAATAAATCCAATTCATCACATATGCACCCTTTTCTCCGGATCAAAAAATTCATATTGAAATTTACATGGACGGCCATAAAGTGTAATGTGAGACCTGAAATATTCCAAAGCAAGCTTGCTTTAATCTTTATCATATGTATCATACAGGTACTGTCATGTAGTTGCGATTTCAGGGCAAAATTACATTTGAGAAACTTATTTTAAAACCAGTTATTTGTCAAAGTCAAGTTTATGTCTGGGTAATAATCGTATTATATTTATTATCATTATTAGAAATGACTATATTCAAGTTTTGGTGGATGCTCTCAGTTGTAAAAGGGTTGAGTCACTTTATTTATGACTTCACCCCCTAGATAAAGTTAAAATTAGTCTCGGTTTAATTGTGTTAAGACTCCAGTGAATGTGTATTGGTTTTCAATACCTCTTTCTGTAGAATTACATGCACTTTGGTAAATTCTTGTGCTTCAGCTTGTCAACCATTGTACTGTATATAGNACCTCACCCTAAGTGCTGCGGTTGTGGTACTAAAGGCCATCGTACAGGTGAGCATGTATTTTCACTTGTTTATATTGTTTAGATCGTTAGACGTTTGTGTGATTCATATGCCTTCCTTTATACTTCTTATTCTTCAGTCACTTTCTTATTGTAGAATCTTAGCACTCTTCTAAATCATAATGTGATTTTCTTGTGTTGTGTTATAGAAGTGAAAATAAAATAAAATAAAAGTAAGTAAAATAAAATTAAATTAAATAAAATAAAAAGTAGTCATTTTAAGAACCATAACATAATGAAACATCAAAGTACTAGTATTAGTATTATCGGTGTGTAAATACCAGTGAAATACATATTCTTTGTTGCAATTACTGCAAGCGTTCACTTGCTTTTAATACTTTACATTACGTTTCATTTGTAGGCTACGACAGGGCAGTTTCCCAGAAATAATGCTAGAACGCAGAAACCATCAATCCTCGCCTAAATGTGCAAATGTGCAACACTATATGTCGCTAGCAACGAGCCCCTGTAGCCACTTTCATTGATGACCGGACATCCTAGCAGTCTTCGTTTTAAGGACACAGCTTGTCTGCAAAAAAATTAGAGAATGTGGAATGATGATGAAGAGCGATATACTGAATGTAAGGGGAATACTGGTACAACCTAATAATGTACTCAAGTCTTTTGGATATTGAGAATTTATGCGCTTCACGGGTCACAGATACGAGTCGCGTGTAATTGCATTTAGTGAGTTTTTTTCAGTTATGACAGTGGAACATTTTATTCCAATAACTTAAGAGAGCACCGAAGTTAAGGATGCTCATTCTTAATTCCATAAATGTTCAATTGAATAAGATGAAATGTGGTTCTGTGTGAAAATTTTGTCAACCTCTACAATTATTATTTAACGTTCAAATAGAATATGTAGTTGCTTTATCCACATTCCAAATGCAGATAGGTTTTCGCTCACAAAACACCACCACTTATGGTCGTCTGTGTTTTATTTCAATCCTAGTGATGTTGTCAATTTTCAAATTTGTGCTGTTGATGATGTGGAATTGTTCGTCAGTATAGCGTTTGAGAAAATCATAATCCGCACACTAACCTCAACTAACCCTCGCATCTTTGTAAAATCTTACTTCATGTAAATATTTTCACATGAAGAGGTTTTACATTGACGGCTGCTGCAAGATCTATAATGAAATATTTTACGATTGAGAAAATATTTCATTATATGTCTTGTGCAGTCTGCTCCTCGTGAGGGATGGCTGGATGCATTCAGGCATCTCTCAAATTAGAGGATCGCACATTACTAATATCACTAGTATTATGATTTTCTCAAGTGTTATAGCTGACAAATATATCCAGTTCATCACATATGCACCCTTCTTCCGGACCCCAAAAGTCATATTGAAATTTACATGGACGGTCATACAGTGAAATATGTCGAAGCAAGCTTGCTTTATTCATTACTTTTATCATACAGGTAGTTGCGATTTCAGGGCAAAATTACATTTGAGAAACTTCTGTTTTAAACGGTTATGTCAAAGTATAGTTTAAATCATTGAGGTGTCTGGGTAATAAACATATTACCTGAACTTTTTATATATTTTACCATATAGAAGAACTATATTCTAGTTTTGATGGATGCTTTCAGTTGTAAAAGGACCGAGTTTATTTATTTATGACTTATTTATATAAGTCTCAGTTTAATTGTGTTAAGACTCTAGTAAATGTCTTAATTGTCTTTAGTACCTCTTTCAGTAGGAATAACGTACTTTGTAAAATTCTTGTGCTTCATCTTGTGTACCAATATAGTGTATGTAGAGAAAAGTTTGTAGTCACGAGAGAAAATACAGTTGCACCATGTTGTCTAAAACGGGAAGATATTCTTGAACTGTAATGCCAATGAAAAACTGAACTGATGACATTAAAAAGACTTAAGTATCCGGGCGTGGGCACTTTCCCGGCATTCCCCACGAAGGGTTTAGACGGGTTTTTCCCCACGGCCCGAGAGAATTGGGTTCTACCATTTATTGATTCATTGCGTTTACATGATTAATTTATGATTACTAAAGTACTTTTGAAATTGAACGTTATTGTATTTAGAAGTTGAATAAAATTATATTTTCTAATTTTTCTTTTTATTAAAAGTAGTGTACAGATGGCAAAATAATCACCAGACTTACAAATTAATTTTAATAGAGTTGCATGCATATGCGCGCGGCTTGTTTAATTATTAGTCGAAATTCTTTTCATTTGCTCCTTATCTCACTAAAACTTGAGATTTGTCGATTTCTGCCACGTAGATTTCTTCCATAAAACCAGGCAATGTCCAGGTAATAAAACTGATTATTGGTTTTGGAAATAAAGCTGCGGTGTTGCGTTACTTTTTTCTCCGGGATTAACTCGAGCAGATACCTAGGCTTTTCTTAGTCGGATTAGAGCCCCAAGAAACGACTATCTTAAAGAAATCTATCACGCTGTGGATGTAAGAATCCAGCACCTCTTGATGTTAAAGAAGGGGTACCTTATATATAGGGGCGGATCCAGGATTACCTAGAGGGGCTTCGTCTTTCTTGATCCTCACACGAAAAAAAAAGAAGAAAAAAATAGGACTTTTAAGTCATGGAACGATTCGAATTAAGAATTAAATAAATTAATTATAAATTAATATTTTGTCGCATACTCGATTGACAGACCACATCTAAGATAATCTTACGCCATAATCAGCTATGGTTGTGTTAAGAGAGGTATTAAAAATAGACAGACGAATGAAAAGATTGAAAGTATGTCGATGGCATTGAAAGTCAAAGGGCCCATTTTCAAATTGATTTTGGGTACTTCTTACAATGCACCAAACACGAAAATTTGCAATTAAGTTTATTTCAGTGTAATAGGACTGTTGGTCTACCCCCCTCCCCTCCATCCACTATTGGCCTTGAAAATAAACTGTGGTTTATAAAATTAATTCTACACTCAATTTATGATTTAATTATTTTGACGAAATCGAAATAACCAGTTAATAACTATAATATTTTTCACAAACTGATCGGTAATCCAGGTCGGAAATTCGAAAGTTATTAGATATGTCCCGACTTGACGTTCCATGCACAACATTCAGCCTATTTCCTTTTCAATTACAGTCTCGTCAATGTTTCATAATGAATGTTAAACCGATATTTCAATAGATGGATGATATCATGAAATCGCAATTTAAAGAGACCCTTGTTACTTGTTTGTGTCAACCCTTATATTTTGAGTTCCATGCTCATATTTAGACACAGGATTTACGGCATATCTCCACGCCGAGACACGATGAGTTAATTACCAAAACGATGGGAGACAAATTGAGAATCTTCAAAAAAATATTTAGGAACGGTCCCTTTAATTTATTATTATTGATAATTGAATTCAAATTGCGTTCATATTAACAAATGAGTGGCCCTGAATGAAACGGAAATTATAAAATTATTAGTTCAAAGGTATAAAAGGATGGGGCCTCGTCCATATCCAAATCGTTCCTGCAGAATATAGAATTCAAGAGCAACATGGGCTCCGCTACTGTTTTAGGAATTGCGTTTCTGGTATCACTGTGCAACGCTGGGGGTAAGTTTTCCGAAGGAGGTTTAAGTTCTTCTGTTTTCTCGCAATTTGATAAATTTCTGACTGCGTTTTGATTTGCAACCTCATCACGAAGCGCTAGTGAGGGCATGTTTTCTGGAAAACGAGATCTATAAGAGACTGTAACACAGTCTCTCTTTGTTTGGGCTCTATTCTCCCTACCAATGAGAGACCGACAAACGGGCTCCACCCCAAGTGTGTGTTTTCCTTTTGAGACAAAATTTCTTGATTTTTCCACCTGTTTTCTTTAAAAAAATTTCCAGCAAAACATTTAACCCTGTTACAAGAGTAAAACCAACTTTCGACATCAGACTTTTTTAAGCAACATTCCAATAGACGCGTATATGTGTACCCTATATATATAATGACAAAAAAGGAGAGTAAGAAGAATTTTATTAAAAGCATAGCAACCAAAAAGTGGAAAGTATACCAAAATGGTAGTGCAAATATTTTTTTTCTAAAAATGTTTATACATTAAGATAAAAATAAGCACACGCTTCTAAATCCAGTTAACGAAAACAAAATAAATATTGCAAGAGATTGGCTATCAGATAATTAAAGATCTCACCATGAAAAACATAAATTTATTATTGAAATATATGGATGGATGAATACTTGAATGAGTTGGAAGTCATGAAATCAAATAAATAATAAAATAGCTGGTGCCTTGGTTATTCCGTGTTACCTTTTAGTGGTGAAGCGTTCAGGAACTTGCACCCCTCTAGATCTTCAAGGGTGTATGCAAGATCTCATTGATTATACCCAAAGTAAAGCAATGTCCTTGGAAGCGATGCCTGGCAATTATACGCCCTCAGCTCAAGACCTGAAAGAAATCTGCAAGTAAGTGTTGGAATTTTGGTACTTTTTTTTAATAACGAGGGTTCTAATATAACTGTATGCCTATCTAAAAGCAGCAGAGATTTAAAAAAATTAAAGTATTATTTATTTATTACAACATTTGATTGTCTATCTGTCTGTTTGTTTGTCTGTGTGTCTGTCTATCTCTCCCTGTCTGTCTGCCTGTCTGTCTGTCAGCCTATCTGTCCGTTTGCCGGTGTGACGGGAAAAGTAGTTCTCTGGGACCGTAGACCGTTACCCATTACTTTATATAGGTAACATTCGTCCCATATACTAACCCCAATACTCTGACTAACCCTAACCTATACTAATCATAACACCTTTAACACCGGTCTGTATATTATCGTCATTATTATTATATTTTTCCTCCTTTTATTTTCTTTAGCATTTACCCGAGGGTTATTGAATGCATCGAAGAGGTAGCGAGCAGAGATTCGTGCGATCCGCAAGTTGCTAGGCTTTTCAGAGGGACGGCAGAGAGCTTGCAATCCAGTGTTAATGCATCATGTGGGCTGCTAGAGAGAAACTGTAAGTCTCTCTCTCTCTCTTTCTCTCTCTCTTTCTCTTTCTCTCTCTCTCTCTCTCTCTCTCTCGAAATAATGTACATAGTAATGGCCCCTAATGGACGCTACATTGCTGAGAAGAACATTTGATAAGAAGTCGATTCGTGCCCTCTAACAAAGCAAGTTAAAACCTGGCGCCAAAAAATCCCGAGAATCTTCCCGTAAATTGACTTTCGAAGGAGAAAACAGCTTCCTTACACTTCTAATGAAGTTATGTTGAGAACTTATTTTTATTTTTGTATTGGTATTTGTCCTAAAACTTTCTGGCCTCCTCTCGTATTAAATACATTTAACTGTCAGCTTCATATGCAGTTACTGCTTGATTATATCTAATATCCGCCATTCATCAATAAACATTTATTCTTTCATTAATATGAAATTAAAATCCAACTTATACAAGAAATTGGTTTTCACAAATTTGATCAAGCGAAATAAGCAATTTAAAGAACAGAGAAATAACAGTGCCTACTCCAGACCTGGAAAGGAACTAGAATCCATTAGTACGACATTTTGAGTCCCTTCAAAATGGCGGGGAAATTAACTTCATCTTTTTTTAAGTTGTCTATGGTTGTCCAAGGAATGTATTTATCAAGCTTTTAAGAGTAGTAAACAATTTTATGTAGCTTTTATCCTTCAGTAGCATTCCTTTGAGTACAGTTTTAAACTTTTAAATTCATACAGAACTCATGTTTTTTTTTTTTTTTATTTTCTATTTTTTTTTTAAATCGATGCTTTTTCAGAGCATTTTATTCCCTATATTGTATATTTTTTATAGCCTAAATAAAAATTAATCTTTATCTTAACCATTTTACAGTGACCCTCCCAAATCAGGAATGTATGCAAAGATATACAATGGCTGCCGAACGAAGGTGTAAACCAAAGACTGAATTTTTAGGAATGATGATAGGGAAGGCAATGGCGGGTACTGCGACAGAGTCATCCGTTTGTTCGTAAGTTAATGTTTGTTTAAAGCCCCCTTTACACTGGACGGCGACCTTTGTGCGTCCCGTAGCACGGCCCCTTTTGAGAGTAAAAAAAAAAATACTTTACGTGCCAACTGGCCGACCATAGAGCATTCATTCTGCAACCAAAGCGATGCTTGTGCCTCCTTTCATCGACCACAGCGATGCCAGTTTCATGGTCGCACAAAGGACGCAAAAAGTACGCCGTCCAGTGTAAAGGGGGTTTTAATTTCTACATTTTTTCTTGATATTCTGCGGTTCAGTTCAACGTTTTTGATAATTGATGTTGTATTGATGTGAAAGTCTTAAGCTGGATAAAAGATAAAATTGAAGTCGAAACTCCAAGTAATATTATAGCATCGTTTGCGTTTGCCCCTGGATTTAGTTATCCTATTAATCATATATGCCTATCTTAACCCCAGTGTTTTCTTTTTTTCCAGGGCCATGAGACGCCTTGTAAAGTGCCACATAAAAGTCGTTACGAAGAAATGTGACGAGGAATTTGCCAACTTTATCAAGAATACGTTGGTCGACTCGCTGTCAAAGGCGATGCCCGGTATTTCGTGCTCGGTCCCCAACTCAAGTACATAAAGGTGGCACATATGCACATCGTCCTTTCATTGAAATCATATTAAAGTGATATTATTAAAATGTATAATTATATTTGTATGTATTATATATATATAGCAAGAACAGGGTCACCCCCACACATCAGATTATTCCTCAGCCTGGCAGATTTCAGGAGAGACTGATCAACAGGAAGTGATCTGTTAGAGCAGCTGACAATTTATGCAGGACGTCTGTGAGTGTCTCATGCGCCGCGGAGGCCATTTGGAGCATATTTTGGAAATAACACAACATTAAGACAAAGCGACCAAAATAACTGAAACTTTGGGGAATGATCGTAAACATACTGAAGTTTAGGTCCAGCAAATATCTTGAATTATATATTTAAAATGCAAATTTTCAGACCTAATTATTACGTAAATGTTATGACTCAACAACATTTACTACAAATGCTATCTACTAAATACATGTCATTTCCTTTATTAGAGAGATGTTACAATTAATGTGATCGTTACAAATATCGAATTATCGATATTTTGAGTGTGTGACCAAGGAGAAATAAATAATAGTAGAAGCGTTTTAAAATACAATGTATGTAGTTTATCATGTTCATGAAATGATTTAATTTATTGTAATGAGATATACAGTAACTGTCACCACCACCACATTAGCGTTTTTTTTTTTATCTTATTTTATTTTTTTTTATTTTTTTACAATCGATTCATCGTAGAATCTATTTGTTGATAGAGTAGGGGCCTACTTCCACAACACACGCGCCCGCTCTCTCTCTCTTTCTCTCTCTCTCTCTCTCTCTCTCTCACACACACAAACACACACACACACAGCCACAGTGAGGTCCTCAGACAGAAATAATGGCTACATGTCCAGTTAACGTCGAATTTTGGGAAAGTATGGGAAAAAAAGTTAAAAACCGCACAGGCATCCTGATAATGGAAGGGTTTTGACTGACGTTACTTAAACTTACAGAATAAAAGTTTCTCGTTGTCTCAGAAACTCCGGGTAATTGACATGCACTCCTCATGTCCAATATCCATAACATCAGTACTCATCACTGTTAACATTTCCTTAATTTCTCAACAAACCCTGTAAAATATAAACAGCTATAACTGTCTGTTATCTCTTATTACTGTAATTGCAGAGATACTTTTATTACTTATTTATTTATATGGGATATCTATGAAAATGAACGCTCGAGTATCGCAGTACATCTTTTCACTTGAACAAACTTTTTTCTCGATAATTCTTAACGATTTTTAAAAAATATCAAACGGATCTATATAAGGAGAAACAGTGAGTGTACTCGTGGCAGGCAAAGCAAGGCCCGAGTCCGATTTTCAAGCTGGGTCGAGTCCAAGACAACCTCACTAAGAAAAACACACACACAAATGGAACTTTTGAGTGCCTGTTAATGAAAACATTGATAATAAGCAAATGACTTATTAACATGAAAGCTCAGTGTTCGACAACTTAGGTTGTGTGATCGCCAGGGAGATGTGAAAGGATGCCAGTGACCACTCAGACTTATAACAATGCTTAAAAGTGTATTAGTGCAGTTTTCAATTGAGATTTAAGAGGATAAAGTAAACGTAAAAATGAGAAATGTTTAATTTTAATTTTTATCTTAATGTCTTATTTATTTTGTTTTTTTCTCCGCTCATGCTACTGGCATCAGAGCATTGATAACCCAAAGCCATGAAGGGAGGTGTCCGCTTACAAATATTACCTATACTAGTAGACCTTTTATATGCAAAAAATATTCATTTGTTTCTACTGCCTAGTATATATAAATCAAGATTTTTTCATTTGACCTAGTGCTGCTTTCTTTCGTTTCTTAAAATCACAATAACTTGTTTTTCATTTCTCAGAATAAAAACTCAGTCGATAACAAAATGTGTTACGGAGTACTGAGGTGGCTGTAGGCACGAAGTCCAGTGTATTTTCAATTGATTCACTACAATTCACTGCAATCAAAACAATCATGCTCCCTCAGGCTGCCTCGAAAATGCAGTCACCCTACGCCCTATTACATTACCCACATTTTGGATCAGTGTTTGTATACGCACGTACTATAGTGGCCTGTGAGAAGTTCACGGCTACCTGTACCGGTTTAACGGACATCGTGGCCATTATAATTTTGGGGAGAAGGTATGTTGCTCAGAAATTGTCATCAAATATGCCTGTACATTTCGAAGTCACTGCTTAGTACTTATTACTCTTATCTTAAAATAAAATGATAAACAGAATAATCAAAATGAAAAATAGTAAATAAAATGTATATGTCAATAAGATATTATAATCAATTTTGCGCATCACTATCAAACACCACCCCCTATGAACAAGTTGACCAGGAACGCCACCATGTGACTATATACCAACTAAAGGTATAAAAGCGCGAAATTTTGAAATTTCGTTCATTCAACGCAGACAGATCTGGAGCAACAAGAAGGATGCCATGTACTGCGCCCCGTATCAAGCAATAAGGACACAGGACTCACCTTTCTCCGAATCTTTTCCTCATCCCAAGTCAACGCATCGCTCATCGGAGTCGTCTGGACGGTGGATTCGACGTTTCTCTAAGCTGGCCAGCTAAAACCTTCGCATCTCTCCACGAGGAATCGTCGCTCAGGAATCTTCGCAGGACACATCTTCGGCTTTCTGCTGTTGTGGGTTATATTTTTGTTGTGTCATTGCACATATTTCCATGCATTCCAGGTTTCTTCTATTCCAGGTCCCGGAAGCAGAGTGCTGACATAGGTAGGCAAAGTTATTAATCCGTTTTTCTTTCTTTTACCAGAAGTCCATTATGTCGATTCTCGATAGAGCTCCCACTGACAACTGCAAGGAGAAGAGGGCCACATCTACACGTCGATCAATCCTTGGTGCCAGCGAGTCCTGCCAGGTCCGGCTCTACGATGTGGCTGCATTAGGGAAGCGTCCAGCGAGTCCTGCCATGGTCTGTCTACAAGATTGCTCCAATAGGGAAGCGTCCAAGACATATGGTGTTTCAGTGATATGGAAGACTCCTAAAGGTAAGCCTGACTGCAGAGTGCTGACATAGATAGGAAAAGTTATTAATTTTTTTCTGTTAACAGAAAACCTTTAAAGGTAAGCCTGAATGCAGAATGCTGACATATGTAGGAAAAGTCATTAATCCCTTTTTTATTTCTGTTAACAGAAATATGTAGAAAAAGTTATTAATCCGTGCAGAGTAGTGACATATGTACATTGTATGAAAAGTCATTAAGCCGTTTTTCTTTCTGTTAACAGAACTCGATTAAGGTGATTCTCGATAGAGCTCCCACTGACAACTACAAGGAGAAATGGGCCACATCTACAATTCAGCTACTTCGTTCAATCCTAAGTGCCAGCGAGTCCTGCCATGATTTGTCTACGAGGTGGCTCCATTGGGGAAGAGTCCCAGGCATATCGTGTTTCACTGAGATGGAAAACCCTTAAAGGTAAGCCTGACTGCAGAGTGCTAACATGGGTAGAAAAAGTCATAAATCCGTTTTTATTTCTGTTAACAGAAAACCCTTAAGGGTTAACATGAGTGCAGATTGCTGAAATATGTAGAAAAGTCGTTAATCCATTTTTCTTTCTGTTAACAGACATGTGTAGGAAACGTCATCAATCTGTTTTTTCTTTCTGTTAACAGAATTCGATTGTGGTGATTCTCGATAAAGCACCCATTGACAACTACAAGGAGAAGAGGGGCACATCTACATACAGTAATCCTTGGTGCCAAAGAGTCCTGCCATGGTCTGTCTACGAGGTAACAATAATGGGGAAGCGTTCCAGACATATGGTGTTTCACTGAGATGGAAAACCCTCAGAGGTAAGACTGACTGCAGAGTACTAACATGGGTTAAGAAAGTCATTAATCCGTTTTTATTCCTGTAAACAGAAAACCCTTAAGGGTAAGCCTGAGTGCAGAGTGCTGACATATGTAGGAAAAGTCATTAATTAATTTTTTATTTCTGTTAACAGAAATATGTAGGAAAAGTCATTAATCCGTTAATCCGTTTTTTTTCTGTTAACAGAACTCGATTATGGCGATTCTCACTAGAGCTACCACTGACAACTGCAAGGAAAGGAGACCCACATCTAACTTCAGCTACTTCCATCAATCCTTTGTGCCAGCAAGTCCTGCCAAGGTCTGTCTACGAGATGGCTGCACTGGGGAAGCGTCCAGCGAGTCCTGCTAGTTGTCTACGAGGGGGCGGCAAGGAGGAAGTGTCCAGCGAGTCCTGCCATGGTCTGTCTACGAGATGGCTGCACTGGGGAAGCGTCCAGCGAGTCCTGCTAGTTGTCTACGAGGTGGCTGCAATGAGGAAGTGCCCAGCGAGTCCTGCCTTGGTGTGTCTACAAGATGGTTGCAATAAGGAAGCGTCGACGGCATGTGGTGTTTCCCTGAGATGGAAAACCTTTAAAGGTAAGCCTGACTGCAGAGGGTTCACATAGGTAGAAAAAGTCATTAATTATTTTTTCTTTCTGCTTCGATAGAGCTCCCACTGACAAGTGCAAGGAGAAGAGGGCTACATCTACACTTCAGCTACGTCCATCAACCCTTGGTGCCAGCGAGTCCTGCCACGTCCTGTCTATGAGGTGGCTGCAATGGGGAAGCGTCCAGCGAGACCTGCCATGGTCTGTCTACGAGGTGGCTGCATCGGGGAAGCGTCCAGCGAGTCCTGCCATGGTCTGTCTACGAGGTGGCTGCATCGGGGAAGCAGCCAGCGAGTCCTGCCAAGGTCTGTCTACGAGATGGCTGCAATGGAGAAGCATCCCAGGCATATGGTGTTTCACAGAGATGGATAACCCATATAGGTAAGCCTGACTGCAGAGTGCTAACATAGGTAGGAAAAGTCATTAATCCGTTTTTATTTCTGTTAACAGAAAACCCTTAAGTGTAAGCCTGACTGCAGAGTGCTGACATATCTAGAAATGTAATTAATCCATTTTTTTCTGTTAATAGACATATGTTGGAAAAATCAATAATCCGTTTTTTTCTTTCTGTTAACAGAACTAGATTATGGCTATTATCGATAAAGCTCCCATTGACAACTGCAAGGAAAAGAGGGCCACATCTACATTTCGATCAACCCTTAGTGCCAGCAAGTCCTGCCATGGTCTGTCTACGAGGTGGTTCCATTGGGGAAGCGTCCCAGGAATATGGTGTTTCACCGAGATGGAAAATCCTTAAGGGTAAGCCTGACTCTAGAGTGCTGACATATGTAGGAAAGAAATTAATCCATTTTTATTTCTGTTAACATAAACTCTTAAGGGTAAGCCTGAATGCAGAGTACTGAAATATGATGAAAAGTCATTAATCCATTTTTTATTTCTGTTAACAGAACTCGATTATAGCGATTCTCGATGGAGCTCCCACTGACAACTGCAAGGAAAAGAGAGCCACATCTACACTTCAGCTACTTCCATCAATCCTTAGTGCCAGCGAGTCCTGCCACGTCCTGTCTATGAGGTGGCTGCAATGGGGAAGCGTCCAGCGAGTCCTGCCATGGTCTGTCTACGAGGTGGCTGCATCGGGGAAGCGTCCAGCGAGTCCTGCCATGGTCTGTCTTCGAGGTGGCTGCATCGGCGAAGCGTCCAGCGAGTCTTGCAATGGTTTGTCAACGAGGTGGCTGCATCGGGGAAGCGTCCAAGCCATATGGTCCTTCACTGAAATGGAAAACCCTTGAAGGTAACCCGTGTTATTGGGGTGAGAAATAGACTTAAATGATTTGCCATAGCCTTACTGGCTATTGGACCTAAACTTTCCTAAAATCTTTTGGTCTAAATCAGCATTCACTAGTCCGAATACAAATTTCAATGAATTTGGATTGTATTGTATTTGAATATAAATTAAAAATTTTAAGACCTTGGCATTTTTAATATTACGATATAAGATAAAAAAAACTAAATCAAATCAAAAGCTGTTTTGAAAACTTCGAAAAAATTGTATGGTCTTAACACTACATGTATATTCATACATTCTGAAAAATCTACTTGTCCGAACAATAATTAGTATGTCGCAGTCATTGATTACACAGAAAATAATAGAAATATTGATACAACAAAGTGTTGATAATTCAATTAACATTCTTAATAATAATTGGAATGTGTTACCGTTTTAGAGAACAAAGGAAAAGGAGATGAGACCCTGAAAAATCGCAACGTGAAAACAAAGCGGCTGGACAGCAAGAAGTACAGCGACCTGATAGTGCTGGGTTTGCCTTGGAACAGCACAGAAGATGACATGGTGTCTTACTCCTCAGTCAACATGGCACAGGTACTCATTGCTACTCATTCAGATCACTGGGTCCCTTGAAAAAGTATTTTAAGTTAGTCTTTACTTTTAGACGAAAAGGATTGAAATGGAGCAATCCAGGTATTACTGGTAGAAAATGACAGCACTTTTGTTCTTGTCATAAAACTTTGTAGACATTTGTTTTCTATTTACAACTTATTCAAGGAAATTCTTAGTCCAGACATTTAAGTATCCAAAAGCTCTTTTAATTTGTCACAAACTTGAAAAAAATCACTCGCGCAAAATATTTTGACTTCCTATCGGCCAAATTTCAGATTTTCATCAGACCCAGTGCGACACACGTGGCGTTGTCACTGGTCTAGAATACTCGGAGCTACTACCCCCAACCTTACCCTAAGTGCTGCGGTTGTGGTACCAAGAGGCCATCGTACAGGTGAGCATGTATTTTCACTTGTTTATATTGTTGAGATCGTTAGGCGTTTTCGTGATTCATATGCCCTCCTTTGTAGCTCTTATTCTCCAGTCACTTTTTTATTGTAGAATCTTCGCACTCTCTTTAATCATAATGCAATTTTCTTGTGTTGTGTTATAGAAGTAAAAAAAATTAAGCAATTTAAAATAAAATAAAATAAAAAGCAGTCATACTAAGAACCATAGCATTATGAAATGTCAAAATACTAGTATGAGTATTAACGGTGTGTAAAAACTGTTCTTTGTTGTTATTACTGGAAGCTTTCAATTGCTTTTCATACTTTACATTACGTTTCATTTGTAGGCTACGAAAGGGCAGTTTTCCAGAAATAATGCCCGAACGCAGAAACCAATCCTCGCCTAAAAGTGCAACACTTAATGTCACTAGCAACGAGCCCCTGTAGCCACTTTCGTTAATCGGACGTCCTAGCAGTCTTCGTTTTAAGGACACGGCTTGTCTGCAAAAAATTAGAGAATGTGGAATGGTAATGAAGAGCGATATACTGAATGTAAGAGGAATACTGGTACAACCTAATAATGTACTCAAGTCTTTTGGATATTGAGAATTTTTGCTGTTCATGGGTCACAGATGAGTCGAGTGCAATTGCATTTAGTGAGTTTTTTTCACTTATGACAGTGAAACGTCTTTTGTCAATAGCTTAAGAGAAAACTGAAGTTCAGGATGATCATTTATAATTCCATAAATAATCAATTGAATAAGATGAAATGTGGTTCTGTATGAAAATTATAAGTCTGCCTCTACAGTGATTATAATAATTGTTTAAAAATTTTATATTGAATATCCAGTTGCTTTATCCACATTCTAAATGCAGATAGGTTTTCGCTCAAAAAACATTGGTATCACCACCACTTATGGTCGTCTGTGTTTTATTTCAATCTTAGTGATGTAGTCATTTTTTCAAATTTGTGCTGTTGATGATGTGGAGTTGTTCGTCAGTATAGCGTTTGAGAAGATCATAATCGCACACTAATCTCAACTAACCCTCACATCTTTGTAAAATCCAACTTCATGTAAATGCTTTTACATGAAGAGGTTTTACATTGATAGGTTGTGCAAAATCTATAATGAAATATTTTACGTTTGAGAAAATATTTCATTATATTTTTTGTACAGTCTGCTCCTCATGAGGGATGGCTGGATGCGTTCAGGCATCTCTCAAGATAGGGGAGTGCACATTACTAATATCACTTATATTATGATTTTCTCAAGGGTTATAGTTGACAAATAAATCCAAATCATCACATATGCACCCTTTTCTCCGGATCAAAAAATTAATATTGAAATTTACATGGACGGCCATAACGTGTAATGTGAGACCTGAAATATTCCAAAGCAAGTATCATGCAGGTACTGTCATGTAGTTGCGATTTCAGGGCAAAATTACATTTGAGAAACTTATTTTAAACCCAGTTATTTGTCAAAGTCAAGTTTATGTCTGGGTAATAATCATATTATTTATATTATCATTAGAAATGACTATATTCAAGTTTTGTGGATGCTCTCAGTTGTAAAAGGGTTGAGTCACTTTATTTATGACTTCACCCCCTACATAAAGTTAAGATTAGTATCGGTGTGATTGTGTGAAGACTCTAGTGAATGTGTCTTTGTCTTCACTACCTCTTTCTGTAGAATAACATGCACTTTGGTAAATTCTTGTGCTTCATCTTGTCAACCATTGTACTGTATATAGAGCATAGTTTGTAGTCACGAGCACAAGTTCATTCAGTTGCACCATGCTGTTTAAAACGGGACGATATTTATGAACTGCAAGGCGCCGTGCCAATATTATGTTATAAAGACTGAAGTATCCGGGCGTGGGCACTTTCCCGGCATTCCCCACGAAGGGTTTAGACGGGTTTTTCCCCACGGCCCGCAAGCACTGGGTACCAGCTTCCGACCACAAGACCATTTATTTATTCATTGCGTTCACACGATTCATTAATGATTACTAAAGTACTTTTGAAATTGAATGTTATTTTAAAACATTGTAAAATTGTTCATTATAATTGAATAAAATTTATATTCTATATTTTTTTCTTTGTCTAAAAAACGGAAGGCGTGTAAAATAATCACCAGACTTGCAAATTAATTTTATGTGCACGCGCCTCGTTAAAGCATCTGTCGAATTATCTTGCCAATCTGCAACGTCCCAATTGAATTTTATGAGACCATATGATATATGAGATTTGATGTAACTTTCCAATAAAATCGTTTTCAAATTGAAATTTGCAATTAAGTTTATTTCACACTAATTTGGCTGTTCCGTCCACCTCCCCTCCCCTCCAACCGCTATTGGCCTTGCGAGTAAACGGTGGTCTATGAAATTGATTCTACACTCAATTTATGATTTTAATTATTTTGACGAAATCGAAAACACCAGTTGATAGCTATTACTTCATTCACAAACTTATGGGTAATCCGGTCGGAAATTCACAAATTATTAGACACGTCCCGACTTGACGTTTCATGCTCTATATTCAGCCTATTTCCTTTTCAATTACAATCTCGGTAATGTTTTAATGGATGGCAGGTGTACCATGAAAATCTGACTCCCCTAAAATGTGACTCCCCAGTCAGATTTTCATTATGAAAATGTGACTCCCCAGTCAGATTTTCAT